CAGGCTGGCCTTGAGCTCACTTTGTAGCCCAGGCTGGTCTCGAACTCACAATGATCCTCCTGCCTCAGCCTCCTGAGTGCTGGGATTACAGGCGTGCACCACCACTCCCGGCTGTATATATATTTTCAGTAAAGGTTTTAATCTCTTAGATTTCTGTTTGGATCTGTTTTATGGATTCCATTTCTTTCCTATACTGGGCATTTTTTGTTTCCATCATTCTTCTAAGCTCATCTATTCATTTATCTCTGTCTTCTATAATATCTTTGATTTTAAGCATCATTTCTTTCTCTACCTGAGAGATTATTTTCTCTATAGGCCTTTCCACTTGGTTTTTCACTTCTGTTGCTATCATTTCAAAAAGTTCCATTGTTTGACTCCCAATTTCATCTATCTCCTTGAGTTCTGGGCTTGTCCTGGGTGGGCTGGGGTTCTGGGGTTGCATTTTGCTTTTGTGTCTTGTCATTTTCTATTTTCTCTTTTTTATTTTGTTTTCTATGTTGATACTTGCCAGTTTCTAATGATATATAGCTTTATTGGTAGTATTGAGGTTTCCCTAAAGGATGTCTGTTCTTCAGGGATATCTTCTAGATGTAGGTGGTTTCTTATAGTTACCCCAAGACTCTACCTTCCCAATTTGTAAAGGATGCAAGATTACTATTTGACTCAGCTCCTAATCCTTTGGTGCTGGGCTGTAGTGATGACTATGACCTCATACAATCACAGATTTCTCATACAGGGGAGAAAAAACTGTTTATAATATGTGTGACATCCTGGCTAAAGTAGCAGATATTAGTACAGATATAGTTTCAAGTACAGCTTAACTACTGATAAAGTATGGTAACCATTAACCTGTTACCTCTGACCACAGGAGCAAACTCTAAAATTATATAATGAAATCAAACATATACTGTACACTTGTATGTAGTGATTTTCCCTTTAGTCATGTGATTTTACCCTTCTGGGGGGGCGGGGGTTACGATGGACAGGGGATAGGCTAAAATGATGAGTAAGGTCAAATGTAGTAGAATCAAGGCTGGAGATTAAAGGATGATCACCTGAGTTTTGGGAAACTGGAGGACATAGGAGGGAAAGAATGAAATAGAATATGAAAGAATGGTCAGAAAGGGCACAGACAATGTTTGCTCATTTGAAAGTTTAAATTCAAGACGTAGCTGAGGAAAGAGAGAAAGAGGGTCTATAGAGGAGAATGAGAAGGAAGGGTAAAAAAACCTAAACACTGAAAAAAAGAAGACAAGGCTGGGGGTATAGCTTAGTGGCATAAGCGCCTGCCTAGCAACCGCAAGGTCCTGAGTTTGATTCCCAGTATCAGAAAAAAAAAAAAAGAAAAAAAGAAGAAAGAGAAAGAGAGTGAAAAATAAGAGAAGAAAAAAAGGAAAAGAAGACCAGAGAAGGAGATGAGACCAAAAAAAGAGAAGAAAAACCCAGATACAAAAATAAGTACAGAATATAGAACAAAACAGGATGACATCCAACCAGAGAGGAAAGTGATAGCCAATCAGACAAACAAGGGAAATGCTGTTCAGTTCTGTGGTGATGTCCATATTTAATCTGAGAAACGTGCTGGGTATGAAGCTGCTCTTGGCCTCTGGATGTGGGAGGTGGGACTGGCCTTCTGTGGGTGGAGTTCTCCAAGTCCAACTGCTGGCTCCACACCGCTGCTTCAGACACTTCCATGTTGCTGGTCTCCCTAATTGCTCCACCCTCCAAAGGCGTGTGTGCATCCATGTACCTGGGGCCCAGCGGTTGTCCTGGGTCTCAGGTCTTCGGGTTCCGATTGGTCTACTCAACAAAGGCGTGTGTCCTTACACTCCTCTCTCAGGCCCTGCTGTCCCAGAGATAATGGAGGAAGCGCAGAGCACAGACCCACACCCCTCTCACAGACTCTGCTGTCCCAGAGGTCTATATGGTATTTTTTTTTTTTTTTTTTTTTTTTTTCTCCGGTACTGGGAACCGAACTCATGACCTTGCACTTGCCAGTCAGGCGCTTTTGCCGCTGAGCTAAATCCCCAGCCCCTATATGGTATTTTTTAAATGTCAAGTTTTGCCAGGCATGGTGCTGCATGCCTATAGCCGCAGCACTTGGGAGGCAGAGGCAGGAGAATTGCTGAGAGTTTGAGGCCAGCCTGGACTACATAGCAAAACCTTGTCTCTACAAAACCGAACCAGACAAACAAACAAAACCCCAAGTGTCAGTTTCTATCTGCTGCTAGTTTATAGAAACTCAACTGGATTTTATGTCTTTATTGTATACCCTTCCGTGTTCTCTCAAAAGCACCACCCCCATTGTGAAGCTCCCTCATCCCAGTACTAACCCCCCACCTAGCCTACTGGACTGGAGGTGTTCACATGTCTGCTGCCCCATCGCAAAGGGAGATCCTTGAATCTGGGAGGGTCCCACCCAAGGTCTGGCACAGGATGGGCACTGAGCAGATGTTGGAGAGGTGGACCCTGGGGAGGGAGGCAGAGAAGGAGGATGCAGACTTGTGCTTGCATTTGTCTCGGCGAGTGCTCATCAAGAACTGACCCAGCCGCCTGCCACAGTGCTCTGCACACTCCCGAGTGTCACCTGTGGATCTGGGCTTCAAGTGCTCACTGCGTGCCAGGCATTGTGCTGAGCTCCTTGCAGGCCGCCACACACCTTGTGGTCCTCTTCTCTCCCCCTTGTCCAGGAAGGTCCAGCCACTCTGCTCTCTGCTCTTTCTCGGATCGGTTAACCACTCTCCTTCTCGGGGCCTTTGCACTTGCTTCTGTTACCTGGAACACGTCCTCACATACCTGCTTGGCTTGTTCCTTCTCTGTCACCTGTGCTCAGGTGTCACCTTAGTAAAGCTTCCCCAACCCCTGTCCCTGCAGCACCCCGCACACAGGTCTCCATCCCTCTTGTTTGCTCTCAGCAATTTGGCACAGCAGGCTCGGTCTCCAAGGCCGTTATCTGTGCTTTCCCAGCCTTGTTGAATGATTTTGCTCCATGTTCGAGGGAAGCACATGCTTTTGGTTAATAATGACAATGTCGCATTTACTGGGCACCTCTTATGTGCCATCCGGGTGGGTAGTGCCTTCCACAGATGAGCCCACTCAATCCACATCCCACTCCCCTCTCTGGGAGAAGCTCAGATGCCTGTCCGCACCTCCCAGCTGTCTGCCCCCGGTCCGTCACCTGTGGTCCTGCAGTGCAGATGGGGAATACCACCATGGGGCTGTCAGTAAGTCTGCCCCGTTGCCTATGTTCTTCTGCTTAGCTTCGTGGGTGACCCTGACAAGCTTCTGCACATCAAGATAGAAGATTCCTCAGAATCCAAGATTTTGCCCTTTTTACGCCACCTCTGTCACTTCATCGGTAAGGAGTGTCCCCTAACAGGAGGGCGACTCGCCTTGCCTAGGAGGCAGAAGGCTGTGGCGCCTCCTCCTCAGGCCTCTTCTTGGTTGTGACTCCCGGTGCTCAGGTCAGGGAGGACAGGACCCACCCACGCCTGGCCCAGTATGGATGAGCCCTGAGCAATGCAGCAGCCATGGCTCTTCCTTGGGGGCAGTGGGGTCCAATGAGAGCATGAGATCGTGGGCCACTGTCTCTTATTTGCCCAGAATATCGCCACTGTCACTTGACTAGGACCTGAGTCTCAGATTTCTGTGTGCCCTGCTACGAGAAGGCAGAGTCTCATGGCATGGAGAGCCTCTCCCTAGCCTCACCTTCCTGGGCAGCTCTAGGCCAACCCTTTAGTAACTGTGCCTCAGTTTCCTCATCTGTGCCATGAGGGGGTTGACCTTAATCATCATCTCCAAGTCCTCTTCTAGCTTTGACAGTCTGTTTTTTTGCACTCAGTATGTTTATCCTCCGTTCTTGGGGGTTCCCAGGCCAGCATGGGAAGGACTCACAGCCTCAAGGGTTACAGGGTTATAGCAGATATTTCTATGCCAGGCACTGGGCTAAGCACAGAATAGAATAAAACCCGATGAGGGAGGAAGGTATATGCAGTTAACCCGCTTTCCAGATGAGGAAATTGTGCCGTAGAGGAACCGGTCCACATCTGGCCTGTGCTGCCTCTGCTGGTGCCGGGTGTCCTTGAGTGGTGGTCCTGTCATCCTTAGGCCAGCTGGTGGCAGAGCTTCCTGGACGAGAGTCCTGGACAGCTGGGGAAAAGCCTTGCCCTGATGAAGCTAGTGCCCAGGCAGGACTCTCTGGAGCTGCCAGCCAGGTCTGAGGACCCCCTGTGCTGGCACTGTGTCCCCGAGCAGCCATGTGACTCACCCAGGTCCCATCCTGCTTGCTTTGAACTCATTTTCAGGCCATTGGCCCACCACGGCCAGTGTTCTGACAGCCACCCAGGACCACGGGGAAGAGGGCTGTGTAAATGCCACCCCTTCTGCCCTTCCCCCTTCTGCAGAAATTCACCTCCACCTGGGCTCCGTCATTCTGGTCTTTTCCACGCGGGGCATCAGTCGCAGCTGTGCCGCTGTGATCGCCTTCCTCATGCACAAGAAACAGGAGACCCTGCAGGTACGTGTGCTCTGGACCAGGCTTGGGCCACAGCCTCCCCCAGGAGGAGGAGTCAGAGGGACAGGAGCCCAGTCCTTCCTGGGGCCCTGGTGGGGGGTGGGAAGGGGAAGAATGAGGGAGGGAATCCAAATCTAGGGTGAACCCAGTGCCCAGCACCCAAGGGCAAGGTCCCAGTGCTACAGGCTGGAAGGCGGAGGCTGGGTACACAGGGCTGGCTGGAACCTCAGTATGGCTCTGCCACTGTCTCTCTGCCCATGAGGGGCTTGCCTGAGAGCTTTCCAAGGTCACAGAACTGCAGGGCTGGCAGGGCCTTCGCAGGTGTCTGCACCAGCAATCTTCCTTCACCGTGAGAGCAGGGCCCAGACAGGGATGCAAAGAAGGGAGCCATCCTAGCAACCCCAGGAAGAACTGGGGCTCCTGACTCCCAGGCACTGCTTTCTCAGGGGCCCGCTCATGGTCTTAGAGCAGGGATCCCCTCCCCCCAGGCCACAGACTGGTAGTGCTCCATGGCCTATTAGGAAGCAGGCCACACAGCAGGAGGCGAGCGGTGGGTGAGGGGACAAAGCTTCATCTGTATTTCCAGCCACCGCCGTCTCCCACAGTACAGCTTGAGCTCCTCCTCCAGTCGGATGAGCAGCAGCTTCAGATTCTCAGAGGAGTGCGAGCCCTCCTATGAACTGTGCAGGTGCAGGTGCAGGATCTAGGGTGCAGGCTCCTTTGAGTCCCCAAACCATCTCCCATCCCAACCTCCATTTGTAGAAAAACTGTCTTCCGCGAGATCAGTCTCTGAAGCCAAAAACATTGGGGACCATTGTCTTAGAAGACTTGGGTGAGATCCGATAAGCTGCTACATTTGCCTAGGGGTGTGTTTAAGGGGAGAGGAAGGTGGGACAGAGAACAATCCTAGTCAGAGCTTACTGGCCAGTGGTTTGGGGACCCCGTGTGATCTCTGGGAGCAATTCCACTTCTGGGTCTGTACCCCAGAAAAGTGGAAGCAAGCACTCAGACAGACATTTGAACACCTGTCTTCATGGCAGCAATATTCCCCATGGCCAAGAGGTGGAAACAACCCAGTGTCCATGGACAAGTGAATGGATACAGAAAATCCACACAATGAAATATTATTCACCCTCAAAAAGGAAGGCCATTCTTCGTGGCACACAAGCCTGTAATCCTAGGGCATGAGCTGCTTGCTAGGACTGTCAGGGCAAGAGCCCAGTGAGAACTCTTGTCCCACTTGGCTCCTCTAAGTTCTCTAGCAGCTGGGCTCTCAGGGTGATGGGGTTTATGCAGGCCCAGCACCCTAACCCGCAGGGACTCTGCAGGGAGGTGCACAGCCCACCTGTCTGGGCTTGGTCGTTGGGGCCGTGGTCAGTGGTTGGATGGGCACGGGGGCCCCTGAAGTCTAGAGGACCCTGCACTCAGGAAGAGCCCTGGGTCTTCCTCCCTGGAGCAGCAGTCCTGCTCTTATCAAGTCCTGTTGCTGGGTACTCTATTTTCTTTTTTTTGAGACAGGGTCTTGATATGGAGTTCATACTGGCCTTGAGCTCACTTTGTAGCTCAGGCTGATCTTGAACTCACAATGATCCTCCTGCCTCAGCCTCCCGAGTGCTGGGATTACAGGCATGCACCACCACCCCCGGCCTTGGGTACTCTATTTAGATCACCCACAGAACTCTGGTCAGGAGGGACTGCCCCTGTGCCCTGAATGGCATTTAGCTTCTCCTGCCACCAGGTAGCCCTGAGGATCCTGGCGCAGGTTGGCCAAGGCTGTCCCTGGGAGAAGTTCCTGCCTCCCATTGTCTGTGTGTGTGTGTTGGGGGGGTGCTGGGGGCGGGCTTCCTGTCTGTGCAGGAGGGATGCACAGCTCAGCTGTGATGATCGAAGCCCTTGGGACTTGCAAAGAAGGACTTGCAACTTCCATCACTCATGGGCCCGAGGTACCGACTACTGGGGCCAGCTTGGCTTCTCAGGTGCTAAGGCCGAGATGCGGGGTCAGGGAGCGTTTTGGCAAGAACCGGGAATCCAGAGGCTCTGGCTTCAGAGCTACCCGTGATGTGAGTTTTCAAAGCTTGGGTGCAAGGTTGTGTGGGGTCCTAGAGCCAGCATACTTTTAAGAAGCTGCACTCGGTGCCTTTAGGCTGCTGGGAGGAGCTTTGTCCCTTAAAGATCTCTAGGGCGGGGGTGGGGGACACTGGAAGGATTATAATAGCTAATGGTGACAGAGGGCTTTTAGTTCTTTATGTATAATAATAACTCATTCATAGGGGCCTGCGGCTTAGGGTGCTGCTAGTATCCCCGCCTTGCCGGGTGCACGGAGGGGCTGGGTGACTTGCAGCGGTTGCATAGCTCTCAGTGTTACAGCTCAAATCCAAAGTCAGTCGGCCCAGCTCCAGCATCTGGTGCCAGCCAGCGATGTGTGTGCTGGTGGTGGGCGAGAGGGTTTGTGGGGCTTCCTAATGGCCTGTTCCGACCCAGCCAGTGCTGCACAGCTCCGCCCCCTGGGACTACTTTAAAAAAAAAAAACCAATTATGGTAAAATGTACATAGTTTAACCATCTTACAGTGTGTGCTTTAGCCCTGTTAAGTATATTCACATTGTGCAATCAGGCTGCTAAACTTTCACCTCTTGCAAGACTGAGACTATACCCACAAACAACCCTCCACCCCCTCCCTCCCCCAGTTCCTGGAAACCACTGTTCTGTTTTCTGTCTCTGTGAATTTGTCTACTGCAGGTATTTTATGTAATTTCCTTCCCTTTGAAAGTATATTTCATTATATGTAAATCCATAGGTACGCCCATCTGGGCCTGGTGTTTTTTTGTTTTTGAAGGTTATGATAATTAATTAATTAGTTAATTAATTTGTGGTATGGGGATTGAATCGAGGGCCTTTGCACTGAGCTACATCCCCAGCCCTTTTTGAAGTTTTTATTTTGAAACAAGGTCTTGCTAACTTGGTTAGGCTGGCTTCAAACTTTTGATCCTCCTGCCTCAGCCTCCCAGAGTGCTGGGATTATAGGCGTGTGTCACCATGCCCGGATGAGGGATATTAATTATTGATTTTATTTCTTGAGTGTGTTTCAGAAGATGATGGTTTTCAATAAATTGGTCATTTATATTTGTGAGAATAGAGCTGTTCAGTGTATTCTTTATTGTCCTTTTAATGTCCAAAGAACCTGTAGTGATATCCTTTTTACTTTCTGATATTAACAATGTGTAACTTTTTTTCTCCTTAGGCTGAATGAAGTCTCATTGGTTCTGTTGATTTTTTCAAAGAAATAGCTTTGGGGCCGGGGATTTAGCTCAGCGGCAAAGCACCTGCCTGGCAAGCACAGGGTCATGAGTTTCGTTCCTGGCAAAAAAAAAAAAAAAAAAAAAAAAAAAAAAAATCAAGGAAATAGCTTTTTGTTACTGACTTCCTATCTTCAGTTTAATTCTCTTACATGTAGATATCTAGTTTTCCCACCCCTACTTATTCAAAGGACTTTCTCCTATTGAATGGTTTTGTGCTAGATGCAGTGGCACACATGCGTAATCCCAGCTATCTGAGAAGCTCAGGCAAGAGGATTGAAAATTCAAGGCCAAACTGAGCAACTTAATGAGACCCTGTCTCAGAACAAGAAGGGCTGTGATACAGCTCAGCGGTAGAATAACTGCCTAGCATGCATAAGGCCCTGGGTTCAAGGCTCAGCACTGCAAAATCAAACAAAAACAAATACCAATAACAGGAGCACATGATCATGTATGTGGGATTTATTCTGCACCATCTCCTTTATTCCATTGGTCTATCTGATTCACGTCAGCGCTATACTGGGTTACGGCAGCTTTGTCACGAGGTTTTAAATCAAGAAGTGTAAGACTTCCAGCTTCCTTCTTTCTACAAGTTTTTTTTTTTTTTTTCCTATTGGGGTGTTTTAGGATGGCCTTTTCTTTTTGAAGTGTGATAAAATACACATAAAATAACTCAGGCTAATTTAGCTACTTCAATGAGTAGAACTCCTGTGGCATCACTTTCCTTCACACTGTTGCACAACCACCACCACTAGCTATTTCCAAACCCTTTTCATGGCCCAGAATAGAAACTTTATCCATTAAACACTAACCACCCACTTGCCCTCCCCTGCCCTTGGTAACCTCCACCCTACTTTCTGTCTGTGTGTATTTGGCCGGTGGAGAGCTTGCTCAGAAGCGGATCCTAGCGTCTCCCAGGGCTGTCCGTGGTGTAGCCCGGGGCAGGGCTCCGTGTCTGTGCAGCTGAAGGAGACTTGGCTGTGCTCCATCACAGCGCAGCGATGCACAGTATGTCCTTAGAGAACCCTATTTACTCCTGCAGAATTGGTAGTAATGTTAGGGTGGATTTTTATTTCTGAAAAAAAAAAAAAAAAAAAAAAAAAAAAGCCACTTGGGGTTCTGATAGAACTTGCCTTAGATCTATAGGCTATATTGGGATAGTATCAACAGCTTCACAATATCAAACCTGCCAACCTATGACATAGGATGCATTTCCATTTGCTTTCAGCCATACTTGGTAGCTTTCCATGTATAACTTTTTCCCCCTCTTTGGTTTTACTTATTTTTTTATTTGATTCCACATGGAATTATTTTCTTTGGATTATTTTTAATATATAGAAATGCAACCAAGACTTACCTGTTGATTTCATTATAACTTGGCTGAGGGGCTGGGGATTTAGGTCAGCGGCACAGCACCTGCCTGGCAAGCGTGAGGTCTTGTGTTCGATTCCCGGTACCGGAAAAAAAAAACCAAAAACTTGGCTGAATTTTATTAGCTCTGTCTGCGTGTGGAATCTTTATAGCGTTTCCCACCTAGGAGACCATGTCATCTGCAAACATCTCCTCTCCAGTTTGGAGGGTGTTTCTTTCTTTTTCCTGCCTGGTTGCTCTAGCAAGGACTTCCAGTACCATGGCAAATAGAAGTGGTGAGACTGCTGTCCCTGTCCTGTTCCCGGTCCTGTCTTTCCCCCTGAGTATGATGTTGGCGTTGGGCCTTATTAGTCTGAAGAACTGTTCCTACTTTGCTAGGGCGCCTTTTGCCTTTCTCTTTTCCTCTATCCTCAATCCTGGTGTAGACAAGCTGCACACCTGCCTCAGGTAACTGCCCTTCTTGCACCTGGGGTGCACACCTGAAGGAAGGCAGCTCTCATTTCTGTCTTCAGAGAATTTTCCCTGTTCTCTTCCTCTTTCCAGTAATTCATTCAGGCACAATGCAAACCTTTGTTGAAGGCCCGCTCTGTGTGCCAGGCTTGAGCATAGTCTCTTCCTATCCACAGGAGGTTTCACATAGATTTTTGCAATTGTTTTTTCTTCCTCCCTCCCTCTCTCCTTTCTCTCTGTTCCCCCTTCCCCCGCTTCTTTGTTCTTTCCTGGTATATGGGATTGAGCCCAGACCTTCAGCTTGTGCTATATCATCAGCCCTTTTCTGTATTTTTAATTTTGACACAGGGTCTTGCTAGGTTGCCCACACTGGGCTCAAAACATGTTATCCTCCTGCCTCAGCCTCCCAGAGTGCTGAGATGACAAGTGTGTGCCACCATGCCTGGCTTGTCTCAATTTTCACGGGAGCTGTGTGGAACAGGAATGCTTTCTATCTCCCTATTTACAAGCAGGGATGCAGAGGGGCTTGCCCAAGGCAGAACCAGCTCCTGGTGCTCCTTGTCCTAACGACTTCACCCCAGACCACTGCTGTTTATATATGCAGCTCTTGCTCCACACTGTAGGCTGGGGAAAGCACCTACACCCAGTCCTGATGTCTCCTTTGTCCCTCTGCTCTCACAGAGGTCTTGGACCCACGTCAAGAACTGCAAGAACAACATGCGTCCAAATTGGGGCTTGGTGACTCAGCTGTTGGAATGGGAGAAGATTGTCCTTGGAGACTTTGTCACAGACATCTCAGATCCTCTCTACTGATCTCTGCAGCCCCACGATGGGCGCTGAAGAACCTTGCTTGGGGCATCTGGTGGGTAGGGGCCAGGGTGTGTACACAGGCTGTTGGTCTGGAAGCAGAAGGCCCTCGCTGCCACAAACCGCATGTTCTTCCAGTACTGGTTCTTCCTAGGCCTCTTGTTCATTCGACATAGCAGATGCACCTGCTCAGGCTCCTCTGGAACACCCAGACCACCTCTGGGGCCACCTCTGGCTGCTGGCGTGGCTGTCCCACATACCCCGTGACTTGGACCCTCTGGAGCTTGCCTGGGGGTGCTTGCCTGTGGTGTCCACAGGGAGTGTTACAGCGCTTACCCGGGGCAGAAGTCCCCAGAGCTCCTGGAATGAGGCCCCTTGCCCGTTGTGAGGCCCAGTGCTCTGACTGTGCCCCTGGGTCACGGGGTACAGATTTCCTCTCTCTGCCTCCCCTACCCCTTTGCTACCCGGCCTGTTCACCAAGGAGAGATCCCACCTCTCCCACCCGCCACACCCAGGTTTCTAGAAAATTCCTCAGGTCTTAAGATGCACTTCCCTTGAGCTGGCAGTGCTCACAGAACGACTTGGGCATCAGGACCCAGCACAGACAAGGGCATGGGTGGGCAGTGTAGGATGTTGCCCAGTGTGGGAGCTTCCCTAAATTCATCCAGTGACCGTGCCTGCTACCGCCTGGTGGAGGCTGGGACATGCTGAGCCCAGGACTCTGTGGAGGGATGGAGGGGTGTGTGTAGGGGGTCCCCCATCAGAAGGGCAAACCTTCAAGGAGGTGTAGAGTTTTGCCGCAGGAAGAAGAGCTTTTCAGGCAGCGCTGGTGGAGATCAGGGCCTAGGATGGCGGCAGAGGAGGGCTTTGTATGGTGAGGGGCCTCCTGCTAGGCCGGGCAGGGCCCGTGGGAAGTCTTAAGCAGGAGCATGGTGCGACATTAGTGTCGTGTCTTAAGAAGAGCAGTCTGGTGGCTGTGTGAGGGACAGTGGAGGTGGGCCAGGAGGCTGGGAAACCAGAGAAGAGGGCTATAAATCCCAGCCATAGGAGAAGCTTGGAGTCCCTTCCTCGGAGAAGCGTAACTTCTCAAAGACAAGGCTCGGGGAGGGCAGGTGTCACCTCCCTGGGCTTTGGTTTGCCTCCAGCACAGAGGGCTGGGACATTGCCTGCGGCCCCACGTGGTTGGCTCGGCCGGCTTAGGCTCGGAAGCCTCAGTCCCGCCAGCGATCGCAGGGCGAGGTGCCCGGGGCTCACGTGGCCCCGCCCCTGCCCCACCCTGGGTTCTGATTGGCTCCGTCGGGGGGCGGGGCCAGCGCGTGGCCGCGCCAGGGCCTTTCCCGTTGGCGGCGGCGGCTGGAGCCCGGAAGCCGACCGGGGAGGCTGCGGCGCCTCGGGGCGGCCGGGTTTGCGGCGCGGCGCGTCCTCTACTCTGGGCTCCTGCGACCCGTGGGGCGGCAGCCATGCAGCCCCCGCCCCCGGGCCCGCTGGGCGACTGTCTGCGGGACTGGGAGGATCTGCAGCAGGACTTCCACACCATCCAGGTGAGCCCCGCAGCGGTCGCCCATTGGGCCCGAGCCACGACGTCCCTTTGGCCCAGGCTCAAGGGTCGGGCAGCCCGAGGTCAGGCTGGGAGGACATCGGGGTCAGGGATCAGGGATCCTGGGTCCCAGTGTCTGGGCGGCCGACCTGTTTCTCTGCGCGTCCGCTGGGACCCGCACGATGCTGGGCGACCGCGATCACTCTGGGCCTCAGAGCCGAGACCCCACGGGCTCCCTCGCTGGCCCGGGGCGCATCCCAGGCCCCATCCCGGCCCCCATCCTGGTCCGCTCCCTGGAGAGCTGCTGCCTGGGCCCAGGGCTCTGGGTCAGTCACTCCACAAATATGCTTCCCCGCCCTCGGGCAGCGCCTGGCTGGGCGCTGGAAAGCTGGGTTCAGGGAGGTCTCCGGCCCAGATGGGGGCGGGGCCTTTCCCTGAGAGACAGCGTCCATCCCGCCAGAGGAGAGAGGGCTTGACCGGCCAGGCTGCAGCCCTCGGGAGAGGAGCGGGGCCTGGCCCTGATTGAAATGTCCCTGAGGCCACTGGGAAGCTGTAGGACGCCTTAGCTCCATGGGGTTTGTCCGTGGCTGCCCTGTCCCAGGCCAGAAGGGAGGAGGCTGCTGGCTTCCTCCAGGAAGAAGGTGGTGGCTGTGGCTGTGAAGAGATGCCACATCCACATGCCAGCATCTGAGGGGGTGTGGTGGCCCACGGGCTTGAGGAAAGAAAGACCCAGAGTGGATCCCAGGCCCACTGGAGGCTTGGTTAGACCTCTGCCTCCCCTAGTCCACCCCTTCCATGGCGGGACCCCCCACTCCTGCCCAGCCAGCTGCCTTAGTGCTTCCCCCCTGAGTCTCCCAGCCTGGCTGCCGCTGTGCTGGTTTTGGCCCCCTGCCTTGATCTCTCACACTGCCCCTCGCCCAGGCTTCAGGCACTGCCTTTTTGAGGTTCACCCACCAGCGCGGAGTGCTGGAGTTAGCCTCAGGCCAAAGGTGCTGGGGGAGGAAAGGGGATGGGCCTTAGGACAGGAGGCCCTGGAGCTGAAGCCTGATGACCTTTAACCTGGGAGGAAGCATCAGCAAGGCCCGACCAGAAGGCCCTGTGGAGCGCTGAGAGGGCAAGGGTGCTCCAGACAGCAGGCTTGGTCCTGAAGGTGCACCTGCAGGCTTGGAACCCGGACTCAGATAGGACAAAGAGCCCATGTAGGGTAGGGGACAACTGCTAGGTGGCTGGGACTAAGAAACCTTCACAGAGCTCGGTGCTGGTGAGCAGAGCCATAGGGGAAGACATCCAGCTCTGCTCCTCCCTTGGGGAGAGAGCAGCCTCAGGGAGGGCCTGGGTGGGCCCAGCAAGGTCTCCTAGAGCTCACGGCCCATGAGCAGCGGCTCCCCAGCGAGCCCAAGCCTTCTCTGTGTGCCCCAGGAGACACACCGGCAGTACCGCCTGAAGCTGGAGGAGCTGACCAAGCTGCAGACGAACTGCACCAGCTCCATTGCACGGCAGAAGAAGCGCCTCCAGGAGCTGGCACTCGTCCTGAAGAAGTTAGGAGTCCTCTGCTGGGTGTGGGGTGGGAAGCGGGTGCCACCTCAAGGGTGACATGGCGTGGCCTCTCCCATCTCTCGGTCTCCTGTGCCCTTCTGTGCCAGGGGGTCCAGTATGATGCCTCTGACCCACCTGCCCTGACCTTCTGCCCCACCTGCAGATGCAAAGCCTCCCTCCCAGCGGAGGCTGCTGCGGCTGCGCAGGAGCTGGAGACCCAGATGAAGGAGCGGCAAGGCCTCTTCTTCGACATGGAGGCCTACTTGCCCAAGAAGAATGGGTGAGCTTTACCCCAGCTCTCGTCACAGCCCCCGGGGGGAACGGTTCTAGTTCATGGCCCGAGCGATCAGGTGCAGTCCTAACTTTGCGGGACAGCTCACTGTGGGGGAGCCTGGTGGGAAGTGCAGGGAACATTGCGGCTAGTGCACTGACAGTCACCTGACCCAACCCAGGAGGTCAGAGAAAGCTTCTGGGGGCTGCTGAGCTGTGTTCAGGAATAGAGGCAAGCCAGATAGATGCGGGAAAAAGAGGTAATGTCGGTGACTGCACGGGCTCTGGGTGGGCGGTGAGGGGGCAGCGGGACCAGAGCTCACGGAGCTTGTGGTCGGACATGCACTTGGGAAAGCTAGCTGCCCTCCCAGGAGGACGGACAGGGACAGCGCTCAGCCTTAAGCAGAGCAGAACTCCCGAAAGGGAGCTTCTGGAAAGCAAGGAAGAAAGGAGGAGTTGCTTGCGGCTGGGGTCAGATGGCCCAGTGTAGGGACTTGGTGCAGCGGGGAAGGGGCCGCTTCCCAGATCAGGGGACCTTCGAACCGTTGGAGGAAGCAGTCACTGGGGCTGACGGAGGTGCTGAGGGGACACAGCCAATTCTGTGCAGCTCGTCAGAAGCCTGGCTGTGCAGGGAAAGAGGTGCTAGAAAGTAGTCGTCGGAAGTTACTGCTGGGTTGAGGCAGCTTCTGCTTGGTCTGTGTGTTAACTTGCAGGTAGAAAAGGCTGAGAGGAGGGACCAGGCAGGGGCAGAGGATGACAGAGAGAGGTCCTAGGGGTTGGGGGGCACGGGTGGCTTTTCCGGTGCACGAGGCAGAGGCTCAGAGCCTTGAGGATGGTGAGGAGACGAGAATGGTGCTGCCAGGCGGAGGCTGGTGGTGGAGGAGCGTTGCGGAGGGCCTGGGTGCAGCTGAGGCTGCTGCTGGGAATGGGGGAGCCTCCCGTGACCTGGCAGCAGCCCGGGGGTGGAGGCTGGGCCTATGCGGAGAGAGGTTTCCGCCCTCACTGCTTGGGTTGGAGGCTGTGCCCTGTGATCACCTGTGCAGCCTCTGAGGGTCCCCTTGCCACGCTGAGGCTCCATCCCTGGGGCCAGAGTGTGCACAGGGCCATGTGCTGGGAGCACTGCTCGGGAAACATGACTTTGCCGTCAAGTCTTGGGTTTCTGTGGCGGAGAAGGACAAGACAGGCTTGGCTGTGGGAGTGATGGCGGTGTGGGGAGGTCGGGAGTTAAAGGGACTGGGCAGGAGGTGGCCGCGCTGTGAGAGGGCTGGGGACTGGGCTTCAGCAAGGAAAATGGGCCAGAGAGCACAGGGCAGGCGTGGGAGGCCCAAGAGGAGGAGGTCCTTGTGCGGGCAAAAAAGGAGGCTGGACGTGCGGGGTCCCTGCAGCCAGAACCCCGTTTCCAAGGGAGTCCCTGGGCTGGCAAGGAGGGCTGAGGGATGGCTGTGGGTGTGGGGCGCCCAAGAAAACTCGGGGCTGCGCTTCCAGGAATCGTGGTAGCAAGGAATGTGGGGTAGTGCCAGAAGGTGACTTCTGTAGATATGCCATGTCCCCTGCCCAGACCCAGTGAATAACCCGGGATGTAGGGACGGCTTCCAGGAGGATGCCCAGCCGGGCTTCTCCTGAGACACCAAGGTGGGGAAGCCCTCGGTGAGACTTGGCAGCTGGGGATATTGGCTCAGCCTGATCGGGGTTCTGGAGTGCGCAGGGAGAGGCTGGGCGCTAGGCGGGGTTGGACTGCACTCCCCCAAGGTCGGGACCCTATGCCAAGGCCTTTGAAAGGCAGCTGGGTGGAGGGGTGTCCCGTCTCAGGCCTGGCACACTTCTGGCACTCCATGCCTCTCCTCAGCCTGGCCCCCTCTCCCCTAGGTTGTACCTGAGCCTGGTTCTGGGGAATGTCAACGTGACGCTGTTGAGCAAGCAGGCCAAGTATGCGTCGCTGTGGGCTGGGTCTGCCCGGGTTCCCCACCCCTCTCTGCCTTCACTCGGCTCAGCCTTGCGGCTTGGGCTGTTCTCCCACACCGGCCAGTGTCTTCCTGGGGTGGTGGTATGGGAGGGTCGCCCCTGGCAGCCCAGCCCGGCCCATGAGCCTGTGCCTCCAGGTTCGCCTACAAGGACGAGTACGAGAAGTTCAAGCTCTACCTCACTATCATCCTCATCCTCATCTCCTTCAGCTGCCGCTTCCTGTTCAACTCCAGGTGGGTGTCTTCGCTGCTGGGCTCAACCCTGTGCCCCCTCCTGCATCCTCTGATACCAACCGTGTCCCTTCTCCAGGGTGACGGACGCAGCCTTCAACTTCCTGCTGGTCTGGTACTACTGCACGCTCACCATCCGGGAGAGCATCCTCATCAACAATGGCTCCCGGTGCGCAGGCGGATGGGCCAGCTGCTCCCAGGCTTCGGGGCCAGCGCCTGGGCGCCAATGGGTTCTCCCACGCCGGCCCCCTCCCTGTCCCACAGGGGGACTGAGTGACGGTGGCTTCCTCACGCAGGATCAAAGGCTGGTGGGTTTTCCATCACTACGTGTCCACATTCCTGTCGGGGGTCATGCTGACATGGTGAGTGGCCTGGGCTGGTGGGAGCAGCATGGGGCGGAGCCGGTGTCCCAGGTGCCCACAACCTCCCTCCGCCTTCCCCTCAGGCCTGACGGGCTTATGTACCAGAAGTTCCGGAACCAGTTCCTGTCCTTCTCCATGTACCAGAGTGAGTGTCTCGGGCTTCCATGGGCGCTCTGGCTTCTCCCCAGTGGGGGACAGTGACGGGGATAGGGACGGCCCCTCCAGCCCGCTGCTGTTAATGCCCCCGCCCACCCCCAGGCTTCGTGCAGTTCCTGCAGTATTACTACCAAAGCGGCTGTCTGTACCGCCTGCGCGCCCTGGGCGAGCGGCACACCATGGACCTCACTGTGGGTGAGTCGGCTGGGCATGTCCTGCAGCCCCGGAGGTGCCAGGGGCAGCTCTGCCTCCCTCTGCTTGAGCCGCAGTGACTGTGTCCCTGTGTCCCTGGTTACTCTGCCTGCAGAGGGCTTCCAGTCCTGGATGTGGCGGGGCCTCACCTTCCTGCTGCCTTTCCTCTTCTTCGGACATGTAAGTGACGCCCGTGTCCCTGTCCCCTGTGGCTCTGGGCTTGAGCAGGGACCAGGTCCACTGAGGAAAAGTTTCCTGTCCTGTCAGTTCTGGCAGCTTTTTAACGCGCTGACGTTGTTTAACCTGGCCCGAGACCCCCAGTGCAAGGAGTGGCAGGTGAGCCAGGCCAGGAGGGCAGAGGGGCGTGGCCGGGCCCGCCCCACCCGGCCACACCCTAACCCTGGCCTCCCACAGGTGCTCATGTGTGGCCTCCCCTTCCTCCTCCTGTTCCTCGGCAATTTCTTCACCACCCTGCGGGTCGTGCACCAGAAGTTCCACAGCCAGCGGCACGGGGGCAAGAAGGAATGAGCTGGGCCTCTGCCCGTGGCCCCAAAGGGGCCTTTGACCCTGGGTGTGGCGGGAGGGCTGGGCGGCGCCCCTGCGTGCAAGGGAGGGTCCCCTGTTCCCCGGGCTTCGTGGGCTCTGTGGGCCCTGAGGAAGAGCTGGGCTTGGCTCCAGCCTGCAGGAGCTGGGCGCTATGGCCTCAATAAAGAGTGGCATGGAGTGGCTGGACGGATGTGTTCTCCTGGGTGCGAGGGCTTGGTGCCCCCTGCGTGGCACAGGTTCCTGGGGTTCCTGGGCTGTTGGTGTCCATGAAGTCTGAGGGAAGCAGAGCTGGGCAAGGGGCCCCAGGTTTGCTCAAGCAATGCCAGGCAAATACAGAAAACAGAACTTTATTCTACGGGCCAGAGGTTATTTAAAAGTATTTACACTCATTCAAAATCATGTGGTGGGGCCAAGCCCCAGCTCAGCTGAGAAGAGCCCCTTCTGTACAGCTGCCGAGGGCCCGCGGTGTCACTGTGTAGGGGCCCGCGCCCCCTGCCCTGCAGCTGGGCTGCCTAGGGTGGCCAAGTTGGCCCAGGCAGGAGGATGCCACCTCTCGGGCCTGGAGGAGTCTGTCACAGGCCTGCCCCTGGGCCAGGCTGAGCAGAAGCCACCAGGGGCTGGAGGAGGGCGTGAGGACAGATCACAGGTGGCGAGCCGGGTGCGTGCGCAGGCACGTGGCGGCTCCTAGCTCCACACGTCCAGGGAGTAGCGGCCCTTGGTCATCAGCTTCTTGACGTAGTCCACTGCCTGGGCGTGCTCCATGCCCCCAAGCTCAGCCACGATGTCGCAGAAGGCGTTCTGCACATCCCTGGCCATGTTGCGTGCGTCCCTGGGGGCAGGCAGGGGACGGCGGTCAGGCTGGGCAGGGCTCCTGCCAAGGGCAGGCGGCCTGGCGCCCGGCCTCCCCACTCACCCGCAGACATAGATGTGGGCGCCGTCCTCGTGGATCAGCTTCCACAGGTGCTCCCGGTCCCTCTTCAGCAAGTGCTGCACGTAGACCTGGGGGCAAGAGGGCGGCCGGTGAGGGCCTGGCGCCAGACCCTGCCGCTGGCAGCCCCACGCTGCGCCGGCCCTGCCTCACCTTGTGGGCCTGCTCCCGGGAGAAGGCCACGTTGAGCTGGGTCAGGGTGCCGTCCTTGTGGAACTGGGCCAGCTCCTCGCGGTACAGGTAGTCTTCATCTGAGCGGCGGCAGCCGTAGTATAGCAGTGTCTCCCCAACCTCCTTGCCTGGGAGCAGCGGGCAGGGTGAGCTGGACTCCCTGGCGCATGCCCTGTCCCAGTCACCCTGATAGTCACATGCACTTACCCTGCTGCTGCAGCCAGGCCCGCTCCTGGATGAAGCCCATGAAGGGGGCAACCCCAGTGCCAGGGCCCACCATAATGACCGGCGTGGTAGACTTGAAGGGCAGGCGGAACTGAGACTTGCGCACGAACATGGGTACCAGGGCCCGGTGGCCGTTCTCCCCGGCCGGGTCCTTGGCCCGAAGCCAGCTAGTGGCCACGCCCTTGTTGATGCGGCCCGACTTGGTCTCGTACTCCACGACAACGGCGCAGATGTGCACGGAGTTGGGGTGGACCTGGAGGGGGGCCGGCCTGGTCACTCGGGCAGTCACCCCTCTTGCCTACAGCCCCGTGCCCCCCTTCTCAGCAGCTTTCCCACCCAGCGCCCGGCGGCCCCCACCTTGGAGGAGGAGGCGATGGAGTAGTAGCGGGCCTGCAGCCGTGGCAGCAGCTCACACAGGTGGTCGATGGGGGGCCGCAGGGATGGGTAGTCCTGCAGGATGGCCAGGATGTGCCTCCGGGCCTCCACCACCCAGCTCAGGTACAGCTCCTGCCGAAGACACAGGGACATGGAAGGCGTGGGGCCGGGGGCCGGGGCCGGGGCCGGGGGCAGTGGCAGGGGCATAGGCTCACCTTGCCCTCGCCTGAGGACGACGCCATCTTACGCAATTGCTCCTGCTCGGAGGGCTCCGTGGCGTACTGTGCCAGTTCGTAGAGCACATTGGTGCGCGGCGGGTTGGTGATGTCCAGGTAGTAGGTGAGGGCCGTGCGGTAGGTGGTGGGGCAGGGGAACGGGTGCTTCTTGTTGGACTCCTCTGTGGGGAGGGAGGCCAGGTGGGGTGAGTGGCCACCCCAAGAGGGAGCCCCTGGCCTGTGCTGCAGGGAGCAGGCGCTCAGCGGCACAGCAAGCTGAGCTAGGTGCCCTCTTTGGTGCCTCCTGGGCCCTGTGCGAAGCTTGGCGCTTCTCTGCCCGGAGGCTTCAAGCCAGACAGGAAGTCTGTGTCAGTGGGATGGCGCCAAGCACCAACGTGCCTCAATGAGGCACGAGGCATGTGGGGCCTCTCAGGGCTTAAGAAAAAGGGGTCCCTTTTCCTGTGTTCCATGGGAGCGGATTCTGAAACGGGGGGGACAGGAAGCCCCGGCATGGGCCACCCAGGACGTGAGTGAGCAGGGCCAGGGTGGGGGCAGGCAGGGTTCACAGCAAGAACCTCAGGCCGGGCAGCCCCACATCTCATGCTTGGTGCCGAGTGCCCCGAGAGGACCCGGAAGAGGGGCTGGCGGTCTCCAGCCCCTGCCTTTGCCAGCAAGGAGTGGGGTCCAGGAGCAGGGGAGTGGCAGGTGGATGTGGAGCCCGGCCTGAGCTGAGGGCTCGGCCTCCAGAGGCCGGGCACCTCCCTAGCAGCTTTGGGGAGCTCATGCACCCCTTCCCCAACTGTGACAGCAATGGGGGTGCAGATCCTGCAGCCATGCAGCCTCCTCCAGTGTTGGGGCTGCAGGGTCCTGCTGGAAGGGCCTCAGCTCCTTGCTACAGGCCTGAGCAGAAGCCCCGCCTGGGGCCTGGCCAAGGGGGCTCCATTCTGGGACTCACCGTCCAGGTTTTTCAGGGACATAACCGTATCCAGGTCGGCTCCCAGGATCTTCCCAAGCTGGTTGACAAGGTTGGAGTCGTTGGCTGGGTAAACGGCCACATGGTCCCCAGATTCATACCTAGAGGGAGACGCAGGCTCAGGAGGGCTCTGCTCAGGAGGGGTGCTGGAGTGAGCAGCTGGGGAGGAAGCAGGCTGCAGGTACCTGATTTTGGAGTCTGAGATGTCCAATTCTAGGTGCATGAGGTGTCGCTCAGTTCCCTGGTTCAGCTTCCGGTTGGTGGTGACCGCAGCCAAGAACGGATTCTTGGCATCGAAGGGACTGGGTGGGGAGAAGAGAAGCCCCATGATTGGCCGGATCTCTGATCTGAATCTCCCTGTCCCCAGGGGACCCTCTGGTTACACGGAACATGGAACCAGAGTTAGCCGGGGCCCCTCTGGGCCTCCAAGAAACCTCACTAGTTATGTCACGGACTCCCTCAGCCTGGCCAGTCAGTACTCAGCCCGGGTGAAAGAGTGGGCAGGGCTCAGGGATCAGCGTCCCCACTGACAGATGAAGAAACTGGCCAAGCCCTGGAACGGCTGTGAGGCCACCCTGCTCTGCACGCAGGCGGCCGAGAGCAGAGGACGCCATGCTGGAGAGGGCCATTCTTCCAGACGGTGCGCCCTCCTGCCCGCCATAGATGCCAGGACCGCACCAGGGTCAGGAGGCTCCAGGGTGCAGGTTCTGACCCAGCTGGGCTATCTCCACTGGAGTAGCCACAGCAAGGCTGCTGGGCTTGACTCTGTGGCACCAGGACACGTGGGCAGCTCTAGCAGGAATGTGGGTGGCACCCTGGGTACAAGGAGCCCAAGGAAGGAACATTATGTTTTTGGAGAAGGAAGTCCACACATGGAGGTGGATTATAAGCAAATGAGCCCTTCTGCCAAAGTTTAACCTAGATATGGCATTGACCTTGCCGTCCTTGACCAACTGTTGGGCACCAGGGCGTTACAGAGTAAGATCGCAAAGTGAATGAGGCACAAACTGGGCAAAGTCTCCCCAGACTGCCCTGTGCTCCACCGAGGCAGGGCCCCTGGGGCTCTGGCTGCAGCCCCCGCCTGACTCGCAGGCACTTCTCTCTCTGCGCTGGGCCTCACGTCCTCCTGGGCAGTGGACGTGAAAACGTGGGTGCCCCACTGCACCCATTCATGGGATGACCCTGCAGGGGCTACACGGCTGCCTGAGGGGTGGGGCACCAAGGGCCACAGAGCCACGGGCCCCACCTGCCCCCGCTCCCATACTCACGGTTTCTGATTCTCGTAGCTCTTCAGACGGCCCATCTCGCCCGTGTACACCTTGGCTAGGTCGATGTCAGCATGCAGCACGAGCTCATACTGGCGAATGCTGCAGAGGGGAGACCGGGCGTGGGGTTGGAGGGCTGGGGGAGCTGCAGGGGTCAGTGCTGGTGGGGACAGAGGCGGCACACGGGTGAGGACAGGTGTCCTATCCTTCTGGTGACTCCAGGCAGGAACTGAAGACCTTGCCCTGACCCCAGGTACCCTCAGGCCCCCACACGCCTGACCCCTCCTCACCACGTCTCCAGGGCCACCCCAGGCCAGGTCTTTGGATGGCTGCTGGGCACAGGCCCCGAGGCCTCCCCACTCACCTGGACTCCTCTCCAGTGGCCTCCACCCCGAAGAACTCGCACACAGCCGGCCAGAACTGCTCTCGCCACGTGATGAAGTCCTCCTCCAGGCTGGGGTGAGGGGAGGATGAGCCGGCGCCAGGGCCAGGCCAGTCTGGCCCCTCTCCCTGGGAGACCCCCACCCTGACAGCCACCCCCGTGTTCCCAGCTCACTCCCCTGTGGCCACTCAGCAGCATCTATGTCAGCCACAGGGGCTCCCGGGTCTGAGCGGGGCCTGGCAGTGGAGGATGTGGAAGGAGGCGGAACCGCTCGTCCCAGATGCAGCTGACAGAGGTTTGTGCCCTGCCTGGGTCCCACACCGCTCATCCCGGGGCTCCTCCTGTGGCGCAGGCTGGGCCCACGGGCAGCTGGGCGTGGGGCACTCACTTCCCGTCGTCGTCTCCTAGGCCCAGCTCGAAGATGCGCTGCGCGCCAAGCTGCTCCAGCCGCTGGTCCACGTACTTGCCCATGGCGTTGAAGTGCTCATAGGTCTTGTTCCCGAGGCCAAACACCTATGTGGACAGACAGGCGGCTCTGGGCCTGCCTCTGGCCTCTGGGCTCCCAGTGGGACCTGCTATGGGTGGTGCCCCGCAGTGCTGGCTGAGCCACAAGGCAGCTCTTCGAGGCATCTGCACCCATCGAGGGCCCTGGCACTGTAACAACACTGAGTCTCGTCTGGTGCCTGAAGTGGCTTTGCTTAGGTGGCCTGCAGCCTGCAGGTGGCCCTCTCCACAGCTGTCCTTGCAGCCTGGATTCCAAGGGACAGTGCACCCCGCCCACCCCGCCCTCCCTGCCAGCCAGGTCTCTCTCCATCACCCGCCACACCTTCCTGCCTTTAGTCTCCCGGAACTAATGTCCCTGGGCTAGGGCTGGCTGCGGACTCGGGAGGGCGGGTGCTCACGGTGCTAGGGCCCAGGGCAGCAGAGGACACAGGCATGAGCAGCGTGTCCCGGAGGCCCTCTCTGGAAGCCACCTTGCCCCATAAGGACCTATGGGGGAAGCAGCAGGAGGGTGTCCTTGCAGGCATGAGGATCTGGGGTGCAGAGGAGCGTGTGGGCCACAGTGCACCCACGGGGGCTGTGGGAGACTCACCGCGTACTTGACACCAGAGAGGTCGAGGTCGGTCTCTTGCAGCCAATCGTAGAAGTCCTGGGCGTTGTCGGTGGGGTCCCCCTCACCGTAGGTGGCCATGCAGAAAACCACCAGCGAGTTGTCTATCTCCGGCAGGCTGCTCAGGTCGGCCTGGAAGGACAGGGAGGGCCGATGCCACCATAATGGCCTGCGCTGGGTCAGGCCCACAGTGGTGCCAGGGCAGCGGCAGTGAGACCAGCCTGGCCCAGGGCAGCTCCCAGCGGATGCCAGGGGTTGTGGGGTCAGAGAGGGAACAACTGTCTGAGAGTGGCACTGAGGGGTTAAGGACGGCTGAGGGGCTGGCGCTGGGCCAGGTGAACAGGACAGTGAGATGTCTGTCGGGTGGGCAGGGGAGCAGAGGCAGGGGACAGTGGCCTCCTTGGAGATCAGTGGACGTGGTGGACGCAGGCCCATTTCTCATACGGGCGATGGCAATCAGGGGAGCGGATGGGGAAGACGCGCCTGTGAGGCGAGCTGAGGATGGGGCTAGAGCCACAGGGAGGTCCCTGCAGCTGGCCCTGCGAGGGCAGCTAGGACCCTGCACAGGACTCTCTGCGGGACATGCTAGGGATCAAAGCCCTTCCCCGCCCACGGCCTGCTGTTCGTCACCAGCCCTCCCAGCCCAGGAACAGGCCAGCAGGCTGCCGTGAGTTCCCTGTGCCGTGCAGTCACTCGGTGTGAGAGAAGCACCCCTGGGGATCGGCCGGGTCCCGAGGCAGCGGTCGGGACTCTAGTGTCCGGGGCTCTGTCCCGTGGTGGCCAGGGCGAGCAACGCAGCGTGGCTGAGGGGCGGGGAATGCAGTCCCAGCCTGTGGCTTCTGCCTGGACTCTCCCGTTCTCCCGGCCACTCCCTGCCCCGTCTCCCCTCAGTTCCTGTCCCACTCCTGCTCCACCTGTTCACAGCAGCTTGGCACAAGGCCAGCTAGAGGGCTCTTGGAGATGACCCCTTCATGGGCAGGGGCTGCCCAGGGTCCCCCACTGCGGTGCCGGGGCAGACGCCCGAGTGCGCAGGGCTGGCGTGGCTGGGTCTGGGAAGAAGACTGGCGGCGGCTGCCACACCAGTAACTGGGGCACCTGTTCCCATCTGTTCCTTTGGCGAGTTCCGCTCTTTGGCCTCTCCACGGCCCACTGCGGAAGGACTTCGGGACTCCACAGGCAGGCCGGGGCGGGCACTTACCAGGTCGTACTCCTCGGGGTCCGCCGCCATGCCCCGCATGCCGTAGCGGTGGGCGTCCTTGGACAGGCGGTTGGCGAACTCCTCGGCGGTGCCCGTCTGAGAGCCGTAGAACACGATGATGTTCCTCCCCTAGGGAAGGCAGGCACGGGGCTCAGGGACGGGAGGTGGTCCCCAAGGGAGCTCAGCCTCAAGGCCTGTCCAAGCCACTCTGGGGCCGGCATCCCACTGTCGTAGCCATTGCGGTGGAGAAGGACACACTCACCCCAGGACGCCAGCCACAGCCACCAAGGCAATCACAGACACACTGCTCAGGATTGCACTCTGACACACTTTTAAATAACATGGGGAAAATACAACGTAATGTTAAGTAAAAAAGGAAGGTAACCAACAATTATGCCTAGTGTAAGCCAGTGTGTGTGTACAGGAGAGAGAGAGCGCTGAGGGGTTTGGTTCTAGGCCCCCACACGGATACCAGCTCCACAGCCCTGAGCGCCCCGTACGGATCCGTGCGGTGTACAGTGCGTAGCCGGCACAGCGTCCTACGGTATGCTGTGTGAAATCCCAATCCCCTTGGGGACTTGTGACAGCCAACGGGAGGTAAGTGCTACGAAGAGAGCTGGGATGCTGCGTTGTCTGGGGAATAAAGACAAGGAGAAAAGCCTGCACATGCTGGCTGAGACTGTAGATGTGGAAGCCGAGGATGCAGACACAGACGCACAGGCAGGAGGAGCAGCTCAGCAAGGGGCCCTGCCTGGCGCGCACAGGCCTAGGTTTCCCGCCCAGCACCCAACGTGAATAAATAAGCACATTGTGGTGACTGCTGGGAACTGTGAATATACTAAAAAACTCTGAGGTACAGACTTCAAAATGGGTAACTGTACGGCGTATAAGCTATATCTCAACAAAGCTATTATCCAAAGTAAATAAATATACACAAAATATATGCAGGAAACCTTTGAAAAATAACAGCAATAGGGTGGATAGACAGGGTCCAGCACTGCTAGGCTGCCAACGTATAAAACTTCAATTATAAACCATATGGTGCTGAATGTAAACAGACGGCTAGATCAAGGAAATAAAAAAACAGACCCAAGCATAGATGGGAATTAAGTGTATGATACAGAAGGCATTTCAAACTGGAGGCAGGAGAGATGGGTTCTAGTACATGGTTATTTAGACAGCTGTGTGGAAAAGTAGACTGGCCACTTCAGGAGGCTGAGGCAGGAGGACTGCAAGTTCAAGTTTCGCCCAGGCATCTTAGTGAGACTCTGTCTTAAAATAAAAAGGGCCAGGGTTGGAGCTCAGTGCAAAGGCCCTGGGCTCAGTCCTCAGTACCACACACACAGTGTAGACTGCATCCATATCTCTTGTCTTACACCAGAATGAATTCCCAATGTATGAAATTTTAGGTATGAAAAACCATAAAAAGTGCTATAAGAAAAATGGATGAATACCTTTATCTCTTTAGTGGGAGGAGGGCCTTTCAAAGTGTGATGACACAGAAGTCATAAAAAGAATAAAACTTTTACATAGTAAAATACACAAAACTATGACAAGCCAAGTCAAAGGCAAACTACTAAGAGACAAAATATTTTCAACTCACACCACAGTCAAGGGGTTAATCTTCCTAACACTCTTAAGGAGTCCTTAGAGAAAAGCCAATCTTAACAGGAAAAAAAAAAAAAGAGGACAAAGAATCTATCAAAAAGGAAAAAAAGAAAAAAAGACATCTAAGTCATGAAAATCTACTTACTCCTACTCACAAGAAAAAAGCAAATCTGAGCCACACTGAAATGTCATTTTAATCTAAACTCTGATAACAAGAGCAGTGTCTATTCTAATGCTTTGCTTTGTTCAAGACGTAAAGGTTCACAGGCTGGGTGGTGGCGGCTGAGGCAGGAGGATCGTTGGGAGTTCGAGGCCAGCCTGGCTACAAAGTGAGCTCAAGGCCCGCCTGAACTGCACAGTGAAACCCCGTCTCAAAAAGACCAAAACAAACGAAAGAAAAGGTTCACAAAGCCCAGAGCCAGTGCTCCCGGGGAGAGCAGAGCCCTGGGGGCCTGGCAGAGGCGCAGGCGCACTGGGCCCAAGTGGCCCCATCCGGGACTCAATGAGAAGAGCGGAAACAGAACTCACCGTTTTCTTCATCTTTTCCACGAAGCTGCTCTCTTTGACAGAGGAGGTCCTGCAAAACAAGTGTCCAATGGCATGGGCTGCACCGTCACGGGATAGAGGTCTCCCACACAGCACGGTGGGGACACTTCCGCTGTGCTCCACCGCTCCCCAGCGGCTAAGCTAAGCCAGCGTCTGCCTCTACTGCAGCCCTGGGACTCCCGCCCCCAGGCAGATGAGAACCTGCTTCCCTCCAACAAAAGTCAGGCTTGTCACGGCCCTCTCCTCCAGTCCACACTCAGAAGGACCCTCGGCCTAGTCTCACCTCTGCCTGTAACCTGCCTCACCCAGCCCCTGCCTCACACAGCCATGGGGTCCCGCCCTGCCTTCCCCTACTCTAAAGCCTTCAGTGGCTTCCACAGAATCGGTCCACAGCCTCACGGGCCACTGCCCACCACCAACCTTGCTCATCCCTCCCTCAGTCACAGTCCTTGGGACTGAACGTTTCGGCCTTTGCTCCATTCTTCAGCTCCACCCTCCAGAGCCTCAGACCCCCGCTCTACTCCCTGGATGAGACCCACCGGGCTGGATATTGCAGCCGTGCACCCTGTGGCAGGGGCAGAGCAAAGAGGACAGAGGACCTGGTCCGTCCCAGTTGATGCTGGGATATCTTCCTTCTTGAGATCCCCTTCGGTCCCCTTTCTCTGTCCCTTCCAGGGCACAGCTGGCAATCAGCCTCAGGATCAGCTGGGACTGACCAGGTCCTCTGTCCTTGCTTCCCTCTGCCCTGCTGCAGGGTGCAGGGTTACTATATCCAGCCCAGTGGGTCTCATCCAGGGCTCAGACCAGGCAAGGCTGAATCCTGGCCTGAGACAGCATGATGGGAAACATCTTTCTCTAGTGGCAAACCATGAGGACATCTGAAATAAAGCCATTCTGAATCAAGTGACAGGTCTGAACAGTAAATTATGGTTGCTTTCATTTAAGCCAGGCATGGTGGCACCTGCCTGTAATCCTAGTACCCGGGAAGCTGAGGCAGGAGGGCTGTAAGTTGGATGTCAACCTTGGCTACATAGCAAGTTCAAGGCTAGCCTAGACAAGATAGCAAGAGACAGTCTCCAAAAAAAGAACAAAATGCAAGCCACAGCAAGGGATATGTACCTGCAACACACATGTATCAGACAAAGGATGTGGGTGGAGAACATAAGAAATCTCTACAAATAATCAGAAGAAGACAAATAACCTAACAGGAAACTGTCCGGCCTTGAACAGTCCTTTCTAGAGGACGCCTCTAAATGCACAGAGCACACCTGGGAAGGCTGTCCACATTATTAGTTCCCAGGGAACGGGAAGCTAAGAGCGTGATGAGACAGGTCACATACCCAGCAGAATGGCTGAAACGGACAAGACTGGCGAAGCTAGGGGGCAAATGCGACTCCCTGTGGGTGACAGTGGGGCAGGAGCAGCCACGCTGGCACACTGCATGGCAGGACCTTCTACAGCAGGACCGGAGCTGAGCCTGGAACCCCGCAACTCTCCCTGGCATCCCCAGAGTACACGCCCACACCCGGGCACCAGAGACACGCAGGGGCCCACGGGGACACACTATGCAGGACAGCGCCCTCGGCCAGGCCTGCGCCGCACGCGTGCAGAGGGGATGAGCTACCAGGACCCACGCCAGAGGGAGGGACTACATGGGGCGAGGGAAGCTGGGGAGAGCGCGCTGGCCTGAGTCTCACGTGACCTTCAGACGAGGAACCCACCTAGGGACAGAGGTCAGGGCAGCGGTCACCCCCGAGGGGCGGGGGACGACAGCAGAGGTACCGGGAGGACCTGCTCACACAGCTGGAATCGCCCATCCGTGCACGAAGGAAGCACAGACGCATCCTTCTGTTGGTATTACAGTTCGATGCAGTTTACACGCGAGCTGCACTTGTGTATATAATCCGCTTCCCAAACCCCCTCTCCCACGACCAGCTGTCAGGCAGGCCTGGGAGCTGGCAAGGCAGGGGGCAAGTGCCGGGTGGGGCAGGCCCAGGTGCACTTCCTCGCCGTGTGAAGGAGCTGGGGCTTCATCGTTCAGCCACCAAGCGGGAACAGGAACTCCCCACGCCAGTTTCCGCGGGACTGAATGAAGAACCAGCAGAGGAAGGACCGGAACTAGTGTGTGGCATATGGCAGGCGCTGCCTCAGGGGTGGTGGTCACTGTCACACTACTCCAGCGACTGGGCCACCTACCAGGTCACCAGCGCGAGGCAGGACAGAGGGCCATCAAGCCCTGGCCCAGAGGAAGGACAGCACGCATGTGTGGGTGGAGCTGGCCGGGGTCACAGGGGAGATCGTATGAGGGGACACATCCTTGGCAGGGTCGCAGCAGAGCACAAAGGAGACCCTCGGGCCTGCCCCTTCCTCTGCCCACGCCTGGCTGCAACTCACCATGCCAAGGGGCTTTGTGTCTGGACATCTCCGCTCCCGGGTCCAGGTTCTGCCCACAAACTGGCACAGGCTCAGTGCGCTGCTGTTTATGGGCACCATAAACCAGATGGCTACAGGGCCAGCAGGTGCCAGCGGCTCGCGCTCACGGCCCGGGGCGGTGAGGAAAGCCAGGCCACCGGGAGTGCACCTTGAAATTCCGAGCCACGAGCCTCTGGCACCAACGAACCACGAAGCCAACGATTCAAAGCGATGGCCACAAAGCTGTCCGCAACCTCTCACGAAGCAACACGTGGAGAAAAGGAGCCACAAAACCAGATGCAAATTGCATTCACACAAAGCGTCCAGGCCAGGCAAATGTGCAGGGCCAGAAGGCAGGAGGGGCCCAGGCAGGGACTGCTGCAGCAACTGGTTCCTTCAGAGGCGCTGAAGGAACTGTTTTCAATTAGCAGCCATGCTTGTACCGTTCTGGGAATGTGCGAGAGGCCAGTGAGTTACACACTTCAAAAGTGGTGCATCTTAAGAAAGTGATAGGGATTCTATCTTGATAGAAATTCTAGTGACATTTAAGTCAGTGAGCGGAAGCTGGGCAAAAGAACCCAGGCCACTGGGGCGCCGAACACACCTTCCCTCCTCAAAGCCTGCTCCGGCATAATGAAAGCCCAGCAGGAAGAAAACGCACGCGGAAATACTAGGTAGGTACACGCCGCTCCTCCGGTGGGGAAAAGGGGCCTAACCAGAAGGCGTCCCCGGGCAAGGGCAGGGCCAAGACAGCTTCCCTCACTGTTCAAATGTCTGTGACTTCTTAAAATTGAAAATACATTTTTTAAGTTTGAAAGCAGGAGGGAGGACATCTCAAAGATCCAAATTACAGGAGAGGCCATCGGTGCTGGTGTAGCTACATCACAGCCAGCATCTCTGTGTCCCGGGAGGTTTTTAATCCATGAAATGGGAAAAGCAGCTGAGAAAGCAGAGGGGCCAGTACAGAGGAGCAGGCCGCGGGGCTCAGTAATTGAGCAACTGCCTACCATGCACGAGGTCCTGGGTTCAAATTCTAGCACCATAATCAATCAATAAAGTAAAAAACTTCATGGAAAAAAAAGTACAGATAACAGGATCCCACTGTGTTCAAACGTCTAGGAGATCTGCGTACACTAAGATGCTGAGGGGGCCTCTCTCAGGCTTGAGGGGTTCTCAATCATTTTTGATCTTTGAAGTTAGTTCTGTTTCCGACTCCCCTGCCCTTCTTTTGCTACAAGGACCGTGCAGTGCTCTGCATAATAAGGAGGTGAGTTACTTCTTACTTGCTGCCCTGTGTCAGAAGAGACATCCACAGTTGATGTGAAGGCGCCTACAGTAAGGACACTGGAATGATGACACCTCAGGAGAGACTGGTGTCAGAGAAGACACTCTCGAGGGGACAAGGCCGCCCATTCTGCACACGGCTGTCCTGGGGGCCTCTCAACATACCCCGGCCACACTCACCTCCTCGCCGCACTCCTGAGTGGGCACATGGACAGGCTGCTGTCCGGGCCTCCCTAGCCTGCCCTTCCTCTGTCCTCTCCTGAGGCTCCTGCTGTCATTTAGCACATAACTTCCTCTTCGGAACAACCTTCCCTGTCCCGGGCAGTAAGGTTATCTGTCACCATCCTCAACGGGGCACAGGTACTTTCTGCCACATATTCTAAGTGCTTCATTTGCAACCTGACTTTAGTAACTTTGAGGGACAAAGGTGTCTGTGCCTCTCGCCAATCTGCCCACTGGCTGGCACTGACTTGTTTATCACGGCCTTCAGGCTGGCTCGTCCCAAGTGCTCCACCCAGCATCCAGCCGGCAGAGGTGGACGGAGAAGGCCCTGTGTCTTTTGAGCGGGGCTGATATCAGCAAAAAGCCAGCTCCTGTCTCTTCTCAGAGGAAAGCTCTTTCCACAAAACCCACATCGCCAAAAGACACGCAGAGGGAAGGAACCAGAGGCCACCCCGCTGGCCAGGGACCCCGGCCCCCTCTTTCTAGACGCAGCGGGACCTGCAGGTACTCAGGGCAGAGGCGAGAATGCACCACCTCCAGCCTGTCTTCAAGGGCCCATCCTCTGGCTGAAGTAAGACAGGCTCTGAGGACAATCACAGCAGGAACCACACATCAAGGGCAGATTTTTCTGCAAATCCTGGCCCGGCCATGAAGCAGGCACAGGACAGGCAAGCCCTGCTCCTCTGGAGGCCTTAGTACACACAGCCTGCCCTGTGCGCAGCACCTGGACCCTGGTTCACGCCCAAGGGGACAGCAGGGAGCTGACTGGTCAATGTGGGACTCCGAAGACTGCCAGGGGCACAGGCAGGATGTGCTGACCACACGGATGGACTGGACGGCTCCTGCCACAGCGCCGGGCTTACCGTGTGGGAGCGCAGGAAAGGCCTCCTGGGCGAGCTGGGACGGGAAGGGAGAGGAAGCCATGGTAAGTAAGCGGGCTGCCAGGGGCTCCTGGATGAGGACCACAGAGCTGAAGACCAGCTCAGCTCCAGCCCGGGCGGTTCTGGGGCTGGCCAGGCTGGAGCGTCGGAGGCTGCCTCTTGCCACGGTGGGACAGAGCCCAACTCCAGGCTGGCTGGCCCTGGCAGTGGCAAGGGGCGTGGCAGGGCAGGT